GAAGGGTTTCCCAGAAAAGGGAGCCTGGCTGTGGGTGCTGCCCTGCTGCACCCTCGGGCACTCACCTGCGGGGCTGGGCCATGGCAAAGCCCTCCTGAGCTGCTGTTGGCACAACTTCCATCACCAGCGTTCTCAGATTGCTCACCATGTTGTTCTTCCCAAGCCCCCGAGGCTCTCGGGCCCTGTGCATCCTTCTCACATCTGCAGCAGAGCTGGGAGTGCAGGACGGTCACCATGGCTTGAATTCAGCCCCAGTATCTGCATGATTTTGTAGAAACATTAGTCAAAACATCTGAACAAAATCCTTTTTCTGAGGAAAAGCAATTCTAAGGGGGAGGCCAACCCAGCCAAACCCTGTGCTGGGGGAGAACTGGTTGGTTGGAGTGTTACCGACCTGTTCCTTGGGGTCTCTCTAAGGGTCTCCAGATCTCCAAGGTTCCAAGGCAGCACCTCATTTCCAGCCCAGAATTTCCAGCAGCAGCTGGAGTGTCAGGTGATGCAGGAACACTCCCTGGGAAACCACCCCCACTGCAGCACAATCCAGGGGGGCAGGTGCTGTGGGTGCCAAGCTTGGTCCCAAATGCTGGCAGGTGCCACCACCCCCAGCTCCTACCTGCCAAGCTCCTCCTCACACCCTGATTTCCTTACCAACAGACCTCCCAGGGTCTCCTTTCACTTGGGGCTGCAGATCAGACTGGGCAGCTCAAGGCTTTTGCAGCCACTCGCTGTTAGACCAAGTTCTTCTGGGACATGTCCAAGCCACGGGGCTGTGGCTTGGGGTGGAGTGTGGCTCCTGTCCCTGCTGTGCTGCAGCTGCCATCTGCCACCTCAGCAGGACAGCGTCCGCTCTCCTGGCATTGAGCAAACATTCTCCTGGAGCTATCTGGGTTTCATGGAGCAGCCTGAGCCACCTTCCTGCAGGGCTGGCAGCTGCAGCCTGTGCCTGGGAGAGCCATGGATGGGAATGCTGGAATGATGGAGGGGAAGGACCGAAATACCTCCCACTGCACTTCATCTGCACACTCCATCACTGGGTTCTCTGCTGTCCCAGTACTTGCACCAGTGCTGGTGAGAGAACAAGCATGGTCAACCAAGCACAGTGGGGCAGAGGGGAAGGAGTGCTGTGCTGTGGGGCAGGAAAGCCACTGCAGCCCCATGGGCTACAGCTGGCACTGGTGCTGGGGGGCACTGCAGGCTGTTTTAAACATTCACCCCTCAGAGTGGAAATGCTTTTAACATGGTGTCACAGCCTGCTGAGTGGAACAAAGCCTGTGCAGAAAGAACTGTGCTCAAAACCCCATCTTGCTTCTCAAACACCTCCAGCTGTTTTTCTCCCTGCCTGGCCCAGCAGCCCGTGTCCACGGGGAAGGCAGAGCTCTGGGAGTGTCTCTGGGGTGAGACACTGCTACATTTGGCTGTCAGTAGTGGGTCCACCAAAGCCACCACATCTTTCAGAGGTTTAGTTTCAGCTGACAAAGCGTTCCCGTAAGTGACTCAAGTCCATGGAAGACACCAGAGTTTAAAAATACCAGGCATTACAGAAAAACACTTCTCAACTACTGAGATTTGTCAGTGTAGCCTCAAGTGACTCCTGGAGGTTGATACAGACTCTTAAAGGTCAATCAGCGCTCTCAAATGATTGGTTTGTGTGAATTTAGTTTAATGAACACATAAGGACACTTCAAAGTCTTGGGAGAGACAGATGAAATCTAGTTGCAAAAATAATGCACCTCCCTTAGAACAGGCTTTGGCTGGTGCCTCCTGCCACTGCTGATGGTTACAGTGTTGGCCTGTGACACAGAAGCCAGGCCCTGATGCCATCCATCCCTCTCCTGGCTTGTCACTTGATTCCTCAGTTGGTCCCATCAGCTCCCATCATAGCCTGTCACCTCCACACCACTGCTGTGAGCAAGCTGGGGTGTTCCCTTTGTCACTGCTTCTGTCCCCCTGAGCCAATGGCACAGCAAGTCTGCAAAAGCAGTTTTCCTCCCATCTAATCAAGCCAAGGAGACCCAGGAGCTCCCAGCATGGCCACAGGTAAGGCAAGGGAGGGGGAGGTCCTGTCCAGGTGTGGCCAAGCAGGAGCTGGGACCATCAGGCCTGGGGTGCTGCTGTGTGTGCAGCCAGCTCCTGGGACAGCCTGGGCACAGCTGGAACTGAACCATCAGGTAGTGAAGCTCTCAACAGTTCCCTGCCTGGAAGTTTGCTTCTTGACAAGTCCTCCAGGCAATGGGACACAAGCAGGGCCACAGCATTCATGACCACCTTCAGACAGCTCCACCTGCTCTCTCAGGACCACAGACCCTGCCTGAAGGTACCTGGCCACGGAAACACACACCCTGCTCCCTGGTTTGTCCTTCTCACTGCTCAGATGCCCAGAACAAGCCTTCTGTACAGCGCTGACCCCATGTACCTGGCCTACCAGAAAGATCCTCTTCTTTTGTTCAGCAACCCTTTGTTCTGTGGCCCATCATCAGCAAGGACCTCGTGTGGGTAAGGCACCATCCGCAGAGCTGGCTGAAGACACCTCCTTTCCCCAGGGAAGAACAAACAAGGAGTTTCTTGCTAGCTGGCTGCAAGCTCACAGCAAGCTGCAGCAGATGGTGTCTAGACGTTCAGCATCACCAGATGTTCCAGCTTTGCACGGAGTTCACCTCTTGCTCTGCAGCTCCAGAGCGAGGGGCACTGCAAGCACAGAAGGGTAATTAGTGCTTGGGCACAAACACAGAGCCTGAGCCTCCAATACTCAAATCCTGATGTTCAGTAGAGCTGAAGCCAATTGTGCTGCTGCGTCAAGCCTGGATTTTATCCCTGCCATGGACTACCTGAATACTTGTATCCAGGGAAAAAAGCTACCTGCATTTCCATAGCAACACATCATTTTTCCCAAAAGCAACAAACATGCAGAACACAGTTACTGCAGATCTAAAAGTCACACAGGGGCAACCAAGAAACAGAGGAAGGCATTTTTAAGTTTTCCCTTTAAAAAAACAAACACAATAGCTACAGACTCACTTTTTGTGCTTCTAGAGAAGCAGTGCAGCCAGGGTCTGGCAGGATTCATGCTGAGCAGCTGCTTATGACACCAGTTCCAGAGAAGCTTTTGCTCAACCACACATTTTTCTGTTCCCTTTTGAGCTCTGCAGAACTGGTGGCCAGAGCCTGGTACAGGCTCCTGCAGCTGCTCAGGGCCCCAGACCCGTTTCAGTTGCTTCCCAGCTTGTCTGGCCACGCTGTAGGTGGACACTGTCAAAGGAGTCACGGTGTGAGCAGCATTCTGGAAGAGCATGGATCTCTTCAGGCTGTGTTAGCAGTTTTCATACCACAGGGGACTCCAGGTGAGCATCCAGAGCTCACCAAGGACAGCCAGAACCTTTAGACTTAACATTTTGTTACTCCCCAAGAACAAAGAAAGAATCCAACCCAATTTGTCCACACTGGCTTCATCTCTCCTCTACCTGCAACTCCACCCACAGCTGCTCATGCTAGATCAGTGTTGGGCTGCACAGCTCCAGCAGCTGGACATCAAGAAATCCCCCAGCACAGGGGGAGCTTCTGGAAGCAAACTGCTCTTCCTGTCCCCCTGCAGGACACACCGGGAAACAGGAGGTTCCTCAAGCCCCATCAGCTTGACCCTTCAGCAGCTCTGCTGCCTCATCCCTGGCCACAGAAGCATTACACTGGCACTAGTGCCCTACCCTCTCCTGCTACCAGCAACAAAAGGGAAAGAACTCCAAAACTTGATCCCTCAATTGACTTGTGCCTGAAGCAGCTGCAGGAGATGGCCAGGGAAGAAATCCTCATCTCCCATGGGACAACTGACAGGAAAGCTGGGTCTTGAGCAGCCCCTCTATGGCTTGGGGACTGCAGCACTTTCACAGCCTCTTCCGCTCACACCCCATCAGCTGCTCTCCCACCAAAGGCAGAGTTAATTTGCAGTGGTCAAAGTGATGCAATCAAGAAAATAAAGTTTAGTTTCAATATATCTGACATCCAACAGGCAGTAAAAAAAAAAAAGCATTATATTTTATTTCTTGTAAAAATCTTTTAACACATGCAGACTAAAACCAGTGTAAGAAAGTATCCACCATTGTTTAAACAAATAACTATACTTAAATATAAGTGTCTGCAATTGACTTGTATAAAAATAAGGTACATTTTGCTTTTTTACAGAAATCCATTCTCCAGTTCTCATATCAATAAACAATACACAACTCTAATAGGTACAATTTCACCTGATCCTTGTTTCCCACCGATTCGATACTGCTAAGGTATGATGTGCAAAAGTCAGTAACGGTTTCTTGCCCAAAAGAAAAAAACAACAACAACAAAAGAAAAACCCAAACAAAAAACAAAACCTTCTACGCATTTTAGAAAATCAGGTATTGGGTTTAAATTACTCAGATTCTACGGGGTTCCTTTGTTCAGCAGTCCGTCGGTGCAGCGAGGGGCTGGGCGCTCAGCGGCGGTGCCGGCTGTGCCCCGAGC